GCATCTTCAAAATTCGACGTTAAGTGTTAAGATAGATCGATCGAGATCTTTTATTATAACCGAAACCGTTTGGTCTTGGTGCATCGTCGTTCATTCACTGCTCGGAGATTCGAGCGTGATATTTACATTGAAGGGGTTATTTTGAAGAAAAGAAGAAAATTTGTACCACGAGTCGTAAAAATATCCCATGACCTCGCGCGGTACATATACGTACACACACTCACAGGCACAGAGTCAATATTCTTTAAGTTTGCTGCGCGTGTGCAATCTCTACAATTTCCGTACCTGACCATTAAAATCCAAAAGGATAATTGGCCTCGACCTATGCGCCTCTAGTGTGTGTGAATGCGTGTGTGTGTGTGTACGCGTCTGCGTGTATACGTGTTGCGAGCTCAAAACTCTTTTAACAGCGCAAGGCGAAACTCTTCTGCTGTGCGCAAAAGAGGGAGAAAATGAACGACTGCGAAGACGACGACGACGACGAGAAAGCGAAAAAGTCTGGAGAATTTCAGCTCTTGCGAATAATTATAGGTCGTAAAGTGCTCTGAGCTCTAAGAGGGAAAACACACTGATAAACACGAAAAAGCAGACTTTACTACTGCTGGCACGCACTTGCAGCCGTGGTGAACTTGAGCGAGGATGCGAATCTCGCTCGTAAACTTCGACAAATATCATCACACCGTACGCTGCGATAAACAAAAAAAATTACCCAACTCGGAGGATTTTCGTGACAGTCCAGCAAACTCGGTCAGCGGTGCAAACGCCAAGTCAAAGGTTTGCGACAGCAGCAACAGCAGCAGCAGTAGCAGCAAGTAGTTTGCCGTACATGCCGACTAGCAAAAGAGGGCAGCACCGACCATTCTACATCGGCTCCCGGCACTTCGAGTTTTGCGCATTCGGAAATACGATAGTCTCTGCATATCAATCGCGCGTTAATAAAGCTATGCACGATATGGAATCGAATACGTCATTTTGGCAAAGAAATAACGAGGCAATTTGTTTCTGCGAATCGCACGTATATTAGCGCGACTGCTCCCTATCACCGAGTGTAAACTTTTCATATTCCAACAGCACTCGTGCTTGTGTGTATACGAGGGCAAAGCAAAAGATCAAATAAACCAAGTATCGCGTGGTGCGTGTGTCACCAACGACGCCGAAAGGAAAGCTGACAGTTTGTTTTGCGATACAAAATAACAAGGCGAGGTACTTTCATCTCACCTACGTACCCTTGGATTGTAAAAACACTCGCAAAGCCGGCAAATCGTTATAATATGCCGGCTTCGCGCGTGGAAATTATAGACTTGCTGTGCACGCGTGTGTGCGAGCGTCTGTGTGTACGTCGGCGCCGCGGATTAACGCACTATCTTTTGGCAATCGACCGAGGCACATACGTGAGCGAGCGCCTGTGCATGCTTACATCGTGAAATTCGAGTACGCACATGCGTTCTCCATTTCAGCTCGTTCAGAGAGAAAAAACATGCAATTTAACTTGATGTGTTTTATTCATCTCATTTTTTTTCTCTTTGCTGCTTTTTTTTCAAGTAGTCGGACCAAAATATTTTACGAGCCTATTATACAATCGTTTACATTGTAAGCAATGAAAATTCATTTCGCTAATTTGCAGGATCAAGAATGAAATCTTTACGACGGAGCAGCAGAAAAATTAAGTAATTACCTGAAAAATGCAACATTGTATAATTTTACGATATCGCCGAGTTCTCTCTCGTATTACATGCACCACACGCATCGCATCGCAAGCACGGGAAACGCCACTGCGCGTTTGTGTCTGAGCGTATATATCTACAGCTGCACTGAATCCTTATTATATACATGATAGCCCTTTTTACAGCTCGTTTTATGAGACAATAATCAAGGCAAAAATCCATGTTACTGCTACTACTTGGAGAGAATTTAAATTGTTGCGATTTTTTGCCGTTTCAAGAGAAAGACAGAGAAAGACAGAGGGTAGCAGTGCGCAGCAAGCTTGTGATATATATATACCGGATTTCAAGTCGATGAAGCGTCGAAAATTAGTTCTTGGAACACTTCGGGGGACACGGACGAATGAACGTCCAAAGTAGTCATTTTTATCGACTATTGCTATTCGCTCTGCCCTGACTCGAAATTGAAGGAAAATAAGCACATGTAAAATTTGGTCGCATGCATGATCGATACCTTCAAAAGCAAAAACAGAATCAGCTGTAAGTTGACGCATACCCTCGATAGCAAAACACATTTAAAATCATATTCAACACATAGACGAAGCGATCTTCCGGAGGCGTGATTAAATGAGTTTATGTACGTTTTTTGCGTTTATCAGGTGGCAGCGGTGCAACAGCGCGAGATGAAGGCGCATACACACAGAATTTGCCGAGGGAGAGAAATGCTACGGACGCAAGAGTAAAAACAAAAAATGTATACAATATAAGCGAGTGAGCGAGCAAGAGCGAGAAAGAGAGTAAAAAGGCTTTCGCGTTTGCCCTTGATCGTTGTTACGTTGTTCTGCGGCCGTGTGTTGCGGTTTGTTTACATTATTCTTCGTTCTCTCTCTCGCTCGCGAGTAGCAGCATCAGCGCAGAGAAACGAACAACTACACTTAAACCCACGAGCCTCTTAAAACTTTTTCTCTCTCTCTCTCTCTCTCTCTCCTCGCGCACGTACGGAGTACAGACGCACACGCCGGCTGTTTTTTCAACGGTCTATGTCCGCGACATTATTACCCGCACATACGTATATAAACTCGAGCTAGTGTATACATGAGCAAATTCACAACTTTGTGGCGTTCATAATGTCCGGAGCTCGCAGGATGAATGCTTGCAGGATAACAAAAATATACCGTAAATCTTGGACGAGGTAAAGCAGATCGCGCGCGCGAGCGACTCGTCGTCTTATTCTCTCATATAAGTAGGTTTTTTTCCCACTCACTCTCGATTTTCGCACTCAACTTGAAGCAACGCTTAGCTTTTTCAGATTTTCGCGCACTTTTAATCTCTCGCGCATCATCTCTACTTATTTTTTTTAATTTTTCTTGCCTCGTATCACTTTTCATAACACAGCCGCACATGTATCGCGTTACCCCTGTGAGTGCCAAACACCCGTCGCGTTCACACGTTATATATGACAATGATTTTTCATAACAGACAACACTCAGATGCTTGCAAGTGACGGCGAGTGACGACGACGACGACGAATACGACGCAGCAGACGATGATGCTCTTATACTCACACATACACACGAGCATAAAATTCCAATTAACAAACGTAGCCGAGAGTCGAGTAACCTTTGAATCAATTTTCTCATCGAACTTGATATACAATCGCGAATTTCACACTGTGCTACGCAAACACGATCGAGCTTGTATTTCTAACCGGGGTGCAGAGAGACATGCTCGATCGTGTGATAAGACACTTTGAAAATGACCATTTCAGCTGTTAGGCGCTCGTTCGACGATTATATGCGCGCGTGCATGTGCATGCGTGCGCAAAGGCGAAAAAAAAATGCAGACGTCTAAATATTACGAAATTATTGTTACGTATTTGTGCATGTGACGGATAAAGGCAGATAAATCTAGACACGTACTTATACGAGAGCGGTTCAGGCGCGATGTCGCGATGTCGCATAAATGCAAACACGCGCGTACGCAGCAGCGTCGATGTAACGCAGCCAAAGGACTTATTATTACACACGCACGCGGCCAATCACTGCAACTGCGCGAAACACGAAAGAATGTGCTTTTCGGCCCGAAAAATCCGAGCAATCGTCGGTTGAATTTTAAAAATAATCGCGTTCAAGAAGTTTGTTTTTTCACTCATTTTCCACTCGCGAAGTGTATTATCGAGGTTTTTTTTTATCACTAATTTATGGCACGAGTGTTGGTGTGTCTGCGTATAAAGCGTTCGAGAGAAAAGCAAAGAAAATTGTTTTAGCAAGTGAAAAGCATGCTCGTGATCGTCTTTTGGCCATGCAGCAAGAGATAAATATTATTTTAATTGTTCAGCCGGCTGATTTTGCTGCGATGCCCGAGACAGAGAAACGCGTTCATTACGATCCGAACGATTTTTCGACGACTTGCGGAAAACCTCGCAGCTCTTGTTGATAAACATTTTTACGGATTACCTGCTATCGGCAGATATCGGAGGACATAACTCAGAAACGCCTTATTAGCAAAAGCCAATTTTTTCTCTTTTTTTTGTATTTTGAATCCGATCGTGAAACCTTGTTTCACACCCGTGACTCGAGTATTTTCAAAAGTCTTTGAATATACGCAGATAGACCGATCAAATATAAATTGGAATTATTCCAAATTTCGATGCTCTCGCGACCGTTGCTGTTCGAAAAGTCACAAGTAAGCCAAGATAGCCAATAGATAATATTGAAAATGTAAAAAAAAATACTTTCCAAGAAAAAAATTGACCGGCTTTCGTCATTTTTTCACGCATTTAACGGTTGTCAAAAAATTTAAATAAAAAGAAATAGAAAAGAACGCGATCGCGTGAGCTTGCGGACCGGAAAAAAGTCTAAAAATTCGAAACTCTCTGTCATCGTGTCATCGTCCGTTAAAAGCGTTGAAACGCACACATGCACACGTATACACTAGCAGCACACTCTCGAGAGGGAAAATTCGCTTGGCCGAGACCTTTGCGGCTCGTGCACAGCGCGAGTCACCTCGACTCTGAGCTGCGCCGAGAGCTCGTTTTTACTCACTCGCCGAGTTTCTCACACAAATGCATGTATATACACCTAAAGAGTGAGTGAGTGAGTGAGTGAGAGAGAGAGAGAGAGAGAAATCACACTGAGAATTTCTGCCAGGAAAATTGCCTTGAACTTGGCACAATTCGCGGACGACGACGAGGTGTGCAACACGACGATCACGAGTGGGTAGTAGTCGAATACGAGTAGGCGATGAAGATGTTTGCGAATTTTTTGTTTTTAAATTTCTGACGACGATGCGAATGATCCTGCACGAGTAGTGATGATGTTGATGAGTGTGTTTGTTTACCTGAGTAGCATCAGAGTAAGGCGTCGATGAGTTCTTGTCGACGAGCAGCGAGCCGAACAGCGGAATGCCCGAGCTCGAGGGGCTGTCTTGCTGCTGGGGTACCATGTTGTCAATAATCTTGATGCCGCTGCTGATATTCTCCGCTGAAGGAGAAGATCCTGGCTACTATGTGTAGACGGCGCACCACAACAGCACACTTAATTTATTATTACAAAAAAAACCGCGAGTTCGAACGAATTCGAAACGGTTTGAAAAAATTTTTTTTTCCTTTTTCAAAAAAACTTGTTTTGTTCACCACACTCGCGAAATTGTAAAAGAAAACCAAACAAACTCAGTCGAAGGGTTTCTTCAGCTTTATTATTCGGCGACGACGAACTTTGTCTCTCGTCGTTTGACACTATCAAGCAGTTTGTTTGTTTTATTTTGCAGTCGGTGCTCGAAAAAGTTAGCAAAGTTGCGAAAAAATCGTTGACAGTTCAAAGCATCAACAACGTCGTAGACTTGGATGGCTGATGCTGCAGACGTCGGCTACGCGTAACTACTCTTTTCGCAAAGACTCTGGGTAACATGTCTCGAACGGAGAGGCCGGACTGGACTCGAAACGCACTATGTCCTCTCGCAACGAATGAGATCTCATCCAAGTTGGCTTGGATATATAACGAGTTATATGCCAGGGGGGTTGTGACGACGACGGTTCACAGCGAAAGGAGATGTTGTCGGTTCGAGAGCTCGTGTGCAACTGACTATCTATTTAGTCGACGCGGAGGCTTTAGCCGTGCGCGTATTTACCGCTTCGAGTCTATACTCACACTACTGGACTGGCAGTACTGGCCTCTGTGCTTAAGCTGCTGCTACTGCTGTGCGAACTGCTGCTGCGGCGGCGGCGGTGGTGGCGGTGGCGGCGACGGCGGTGCGCGCATCAGCTGGTACACACACATATCAGGGCAGTATCACGCACACGCTATCCGTGTATACACACATTCGCGCGGAGCACAGAGCCTCTGTTGCCAGTGTTGCTATGCTGCTCTGGCTCGCGCCGCGAAATCCCCACTCTCCGAGAAAACCGCCACCCGCTCGCTCGCTCGCTCGCTCGCTCTGCCTCGGCGCTGGCTCGTGCCGCCGCTCTCTCTCTCTCTCTCTCTCTCTCTCTCTGTACCGCGTGCGTTTGTATACATATACAAGCGCGCACATATACATATACACACAGACGAGCTGCGCGTACAAATACACGGGCAAGATTATGCCCGAGCCGCTGCTGCCGACGCTGCACAACGCTGCCTATGTGCCGCGTGCGTATTTTAAGGGATGCAGCGACGTAGAGGGGGACACTTGCTGGAGCGCTCGGGAGAGCGCCTCGCTATACAGTACCAGCGTCATTCGGCCTGCGAGCTTCGCACTGAAACGTACGAGAGCTCGTCCGTTTTATTCTTGCGCTGCGTTCTGCACAGCCAGGCGAGGTTGGCAATTTTTTTTCTACCTTCGCGCTGCGTTATATGCACGTATAGACTATCGTGCTTTACTCGTTGTCACGCGTCGTTCGTTTGGTGCCGTTTCGGTCGGGCTTTCTGTATATCCTTCGGTTTTTATTCCTTCGACGCAAAGTATACACATGTACGGAGAGAGAGCGTAAAAAAGCTTGTATCGGGCGAGTCATCAATATTCGTTAGCACCGAGCAATGGTCTCGTGCAAATCGAACGGTTATTATCCTCGTTCGGAAAGCATTGACCTTCGTGCGAGATCATCGCAATCGTGTATATACGCTCTTGCTGGACAGTTCATTCGATTAATCAACGTGATCTCGTGCGTGTGTAAATACACACATGTACGTACTAATGCCCGGTCTTCCAAGACGTGTCCATCAATGTGGCAAATAAAATGGCATAAAAATAGATCGTCGTCGACCGTAAGGTATATATCTTTTTTTTTCTTGTTTCTCGCCACTCCGACGATCGTTATATCGCGCGGACAGTCCAATTTTAATGCATATCATTACGGTCGACGAATTGACGAATTGGCCATCTCGCTCGTGTGCATCGAAGATTTAAGGCTTTCGACGAGCTTTGCCGTTACGCAGCTGTACCGACGATGTTGCTGCTGCTGCTGCTGCTGTTGCGTTGTTTTTTTTTTTTATCGATGTCACACGGCGGCTGTTATTAAATGAGTCACGCCCACATCTTATCTTGTCCTCGTCATCTCTCTCGCCAAATAAATACTACAATTATCCAATAAAATGTAGCCTATACGCAACGAATAGCTTATGGGCTAATTAAATCAATTCTAATTCATACGTGCTACGCACACGTTTAAATTTTCGCAAACGCGAATGCGAGCCCGTTATATCCTACGTCGGTTAATTGCACAAGCGCGAGCCAGGCTCGTATGGACGCTCGACCAATTTAATAATACATATTTTAATAAGTTTTGCCTTGGACATTTATTGCCATATTCCCGAACAAATTGTTTCATTTTAACGATTAACGAAATTAAAACGCGAAACAACTAATTTTCGACCATAAGTTAGTCGGCGCGATTGGCCGCGCACTATAGTGCTGCACACAGCAGTGGGATTGCAGCAGCGCGCCACTGCACGGAGATGATAATTCACCAAATGACGCAATTGTATATGTATAAAAGCTCGCCAGCAATGCAAAATAAATACAAATCTAATAAATAATACGCGCGAGATTAGTTTCAGCGAGGCATACTATAAAGTGCACTGACGTAATCCGCGCGCGCGTTGTTGAGATAAATTCATTCGCGCATGTGCCCGCGAGACCCGACGTTTATTAGTTCGTTAATCCAATTATGACATTAAAATAAATAAATATCTTTTTACATTTTCTTCGCCACGATATAGTAACTTGCTTTTTTTTGCATCGGTCGGCTAAACACATCGTACACAAGCTCGCTGGTCTAATCTACGTTCTGCGAATACATAAAACCGTCCTCTCGAGAAATCATTAAAATTAAACTGACGTGACGATCGTCAAATTTGGTATTATAAAAAAAAACTCAGTCGAAATAAAATTGATATTTATTATGCTCTTTTTGCCTCTCGAGTCAGAAGCGTAATAATAATCCTGCGGCGCGCACAAGGCTGCCTCGTGCACGAGGACTCGAAATATATTGATCTTCATAAACGTGTCGCCAAGGAGTCTCTTGAGAAACTGCACGATTAACGAACTGCAAAATTATCGAATTTGCATTTGATTTATCTATTATTATATCACTGTGAATCATCATTAACTCGAGGCTCGGTTAATCAATCATCTCTACAGAGCAATATTGATCAATAACTTATTGACGCCCGCTAGCAATATTATGCTGCTTCGGAGCTGGATTCAACTGATGAATTGGTACCTAAAGTGAATATGTGAAGGGGGCAAATAAACCGTATTTAGTGCCAAACTCGTATACTAAAAGGACTGCATCGACTATTAGAGTGTTCATGCTTACACCCTCTCTCCCTCCCCTCAATATTCGCTGTAAATCCCCATTCAGCAGCTGAATAGAACTTCGAAGCAGCATCATGCTGAATCGAACGTTGGAGCAGTATCATACCGAATCAAGTTTCGTAAGCAGCATTTGAAGTAGCAAACTACTGGTCCGATATTCGAAGCAGCATTATACCGCTAGAAGGCGTCGTTATGGTAATGGTGGAGATAATATAAAACCGTTGCTGAAAATATCAGCGAAGCCATATCGGGCATTCGTCATATATACATGATTAATAAATCAATCGAAATGAGCTTATAGGTTTAATTTTTACGGGTTTGCGTATTCGCATGGGACCAAGTCTCTCGAACGATTTCCAATATAATAGTCCCAGCCACACCATAGATTATTAATCCTCGCGCCGACTGTTGAATATTGCAGTGATCGAGTTTTAATTTAATTTCGCGTAGCAAGAGTTAGATTTTCTGGGGAAAAATTGACAAGTTCGATGCTATATTTGTTGAAGCATGTGCTCGAAACTCTGCAAACTTCGGCCAGCCAATATAACGAGTGTATATATAGAGATGAAATAGCAGGCAGTAGCAACTGTACAAGACGGTAGCATTCGATGTATAAATCCTGGCCTAGCAACATCTGACGGCCCTCTCGGCTCGTTATATAGCCGGAGTTGTTGCTCTGGATCCGCGCACACGTGCGACTTGACTCAGTGGCAGTGTTTACCTATTACAGGCGTATATGTATCCTATATCGCGCGTCCAACACAGAATACCATTGCTGCTGCTGCAGCAGCCCTGGCTACATGTACACTCAGATATAGCCTGGATATACATATATATACCCGTATTTACGTGCGCGTGAATTTTGTTCCGCTACTCGATCTCGTGCTGCACATATAAACGTAAGGTCGCCAGATCGAGACACCACCGTCAATCTCGTTGCGATCGTTTGTTTGAATTATTTATCGTACGTATACAGCAGAGAAGTTGCGTAGCGCAAGGTGAAGTTGAAGAACGAAGTACGTGTACGAGAATCGCGCTTACTCGAAACGAAAAAACAAGCGCGCGTAAATACAGTTGGGTGGCTCGTACTCGGAAATAAAAATGAAATACAATATGTATTCTCGTGCTGTATATAATACGATATAATATAAACGTCTCTATAGTCGCGCGACAATAAATTTTTTAATTATGCATACCCTCGAACTTCAGTGCGCTCTCTCTACATGCGTTTATTTTCAAAAACGTGGAACGCAAAGTTGTACTTCGCGATGTATGTATAGCACATATACATACGTTCGCTGAAGCTTCAGCTACTACACGGCTGCTGCGGGCGTAAGGGGAGATACGCATATAAAATTCCGGCGTTATTTGTACTCGTGCTTCGGAGCCAAGTAGTACTCGGCTGCGTGCTTGTGATATATATGCGACTGGCAAGAGTGAAGTTTAAGCGCATGAAAATTTCACGTTTATGGGACAGAGCGGCATAGCGGAGTTGTGACGATTTTACGGATGCGATTTTTAGCTGCGTAAATTACAAAGACAAATCACCGCTTGTTGCTCGAGGCGGATATACCGTATATAGTTTACGCGTTCATCGAAATACAGTGACTAATAAGCGCGCGCACACACACAAAATGTCAAAGTGTTTGAAATGTCGCGGAGAATTGTTTACACGCACGCGCGTCTACGCTTTTGGCTACTGCAGTGACGAATTCTTTCAAACATATTACCGTTACGGGAGATAGAGATAGAGAGAGACAGAATCGAACTGCAATTACACCTTATTTGTAAGTATTTAATAAGACTCTATTGACGGAAGCAGACGTAATTACAAGCTGTGCAACGAGCGAAATCCCTTGCGGACCTCGTCATCACTGATCAAGGTATCGTCGCACGCGTCCATGTGTACATCAATGCAGATTCTGACATCGTCAAGCTGCATTAGTTGCATGGGTAGAGGCAATACCGTATAAACGAGGAAGGTCGGTGATCTGCTGCGGCTGCTCCCATGAGCGCAATGCAACTTGATTCGGTCAATGCCGAGCCTCCATTTACTCCAAAGTCATGCGTGTGTGTGATTGTGTGCGCAGATCACTCTCTTGCCTGTCACCGTAAACACACGCGCGCGTCCTGCACTGGCCATGCAGCAGCGATAACGTTCGGCGATATATTCACGCACTCGCAGAGCCGATGATAGTACAATTACAAATGTATACTTGTTATATACAACGTACGTGCGTATACAGTCGTCGTCATCCGAAAGTTTATTCATTCGTTCGATTCAAAGACTCAAGTCGACAGTGCGCGCCGTGACTAATTCGTCGCCGTTTGCTTTTTATTTCCTTTCTATCGGTTAATATACGACTGCAGATTACAGTTTATCGACGCG